CTGGGGCTCAGGCTGTACTGGGGCTCAAGCTCTGGGGCTTGTGCAGCTGTCTTCTGCCAGCCTGCTGCACAGGGCAGGCCAGGGGAGAAGAATGAAGACCTTTTTCTGTGGCTTTTCACAGAATGACTCCCCTGGTGAGGAAATACACGTGGATTTTTAAAAAAATGTTTTTCTCCTGAAGATCCAGTGCCTCAAAGGAGATTAAAATACACACAGGTCCTCAATTTTCCTTGAAAAAGTGGCATCTTAGTGCAGACAGAAGGGAAGTGAGGGAGCTGGGTGCCCTGCAGGACTCCCGTGCCATCCTGGCTCCAGAACTGTCCTGAATTCACCCCACCACCTTCCCCCCCCCCAGCACTTGCCAAGGGCAGGACCCCACAGACCTGCTGATCAGGCCCTAAAATCCAGGTTGACTGTAAAGATGGTGCAGCCAAAAGCTCTGGTGAGAAACAGGGAGCTACACAGCAAGACTGAGACTGCTCGGTGGGTGGGGAGGAGCCACACACAGGTTGACTCCTGCCCTTTGGTGCCACCACTGCCTGCTTGAGGCTTTCAAAAACAGCCTCAGCAAAAGCATTTCTCAGAGAAGCCTGGAGCACCTGGCCAAGGGGCAGCCTGCAGGGCTGTGCCTGCACCTGTTGAGTTTCAAAGCTTCCCCTGCTGCCACTCAGCATCCTCCCCCAGCAGCAGCTGCCACCTCCTGGAGACCCCCATTTCCATTCATGTTCATTCTCTCCCCCTTTGCTTCAGTGAAGTCAACTACACCAGCTGAAGATACATTTAATTATGATGAGGTGCATCAGCTCAGCACCTGAGACACCTGAGAGCCTGGGAAGGTGATGGGGTAGCTCCCCATTATGGGGGGGGGGTCACAGCCCTGGAGGTGTCAAGTCTCCCCTTGGGGTGTGTGTACCCACAGGGACACCCTGACCTGCAACACCCCACATGGAAAATGATCTCCCTCAGGTTCCTCTGTGGTTTTGTACTTGGAGAAGCCAAGAGGAGCAGCCAGCAAGCACCCCACGTGGAGGTGGGGCCCTGGGGATGGATGAGGAGGTGAGTTATGGTGTGAGATGGAACAAGGGGAGAAGCATAGAAAAATAAAAGGAGGCAGGGGCAGGGATGGAAGCAGAGCTTGTAGCCCAGCTGTGGCTTTTTCCTGAAGGTGACAGCTTTGCTATGTCAGTTTTAAAGACTTCTTCAGCACTGAATGGTGCTGTTGTGCTCCAGCAGATATCCAGCTAATTGGACTGGTGCTGTCTCAGGAAGTTCACCTGCTAATTTTGAGCCACTTTGGCACAAAACCATCATGAGCACAAGAGAAAAACTCCATCTCCAGAGCTCAGGCAACAGGCATCTCCTGCAGAGGCCTCTTCCCCCCCCTTGTACCACAAAAAACAGAGCTGGAAACGGGGAAGGAAAGAGAGAAAGATGGGGAGAAAACAACATTTGGAGTGTCCCAAACCTGCCAACTGCTCACCTGGTTTTTTCCCCTTGCAGCCAGGAGCAGTGGGAAGCCAAGCTTCTCAGAGCTTCTCACCCTTGGGGTGTTGGCATCAGGCAACACACAGGGCATCACCTCACCCTGAGAGAGTGGCTGCAACAAGAGGAGCTTGAAGCAGGTTCTGCTGCTTCTGTTGCCTGCTTCCCAAGGACTGATGTGTGTCCAGTGAGGTCCCACCTGCACCAGGTGAACCAGGCACACTTCCAGCCTACACCTTAAGTCACAAAAGGGTGAACTTGGTGGTGAGGCCTTAACAAACACCCCCCCCTTGAACTGCAGAGCAGCCTTTCCCTTCCCAAAGGGGCAGGTCTCCCATCACTGGTCAAGTACCCATTACAGCTAGATTCCTGAAGCTCACACCTTTGGGGTTGCAGCAAGACAACCTTGTCCATAGCTCCTGCACCCCTGGGAAATAAGAAAAAGAATTAAGTGCCTTTATTATGTTGAATGACTCAATAATTAGCACAGAAAATGACAAGCCACCAGAGAGTGATGCAGAAGG